AGTTTGTTGATAAGTGAGAAGGGTTGGCAATGAAGCCTGGCGGGAGGGAGCCCTTAAGAACTGCTGCCTTTGTTTTTTCTATCTTCCTGCATGAGTTTCCTCCCAGTGGGGAGATCTTAGACAAGTCACAAACTTGGAAATGATTACAACCTAAAGGAAATGATTTGAGGGCTGGCTGTTTCAAGTATAACCTTTTTTTTTTTTAAACTTGTTCCTTTTTGCCCACCTCGAGGTCTGAATTAGACACTCATGATGCAGTGAAGATGTGCAGGGAAGGGGGCAGGATGGAGCTCTGGAATTAGCCGGATGACTGTGCAAAGCCAGCATCCTCCTCCTGTAATCAGAAGATGACTCAGGCACTCGGGGAGGTGAGGTACCCATCAGATGTCACACACTGAGTGAGCCCAGGGAGCCTGGCCAAGCCCAGAGTTTCTCATCACCCCATGCTGCTGGTCTGGGGTCCTGTGCCATGACCCAAGTGTCACTGAGCCAGGTGAGGGGTGAGCTTTATGGCAAGGTTCTCTCGGACTAAGGGAGAAGGCTGACCCTGGCCTTCTGTGTGTGTGTGTTTATGAAGGACGTCGCAGAAGGAGATGAATCCAAGTGCATGGATTATTTGCTCTTGGGCTGATGGTAGACTCAGGGAGTGAAGGATATTAAACATCAATGGCTTAGAGAAGGATTATCCATGAGTGTCTTTACCCTGACAGATAATCCTGACTTATTTTATGATGAATAACAGTCAAGAGAGGCCCTTAGTCCTCCAGTCTTCCAGTGTCTGCTGACTTCCAGCCTTGGCAGCCATTGTTCCCTGTCTCTTAGAGCCTTTATCTCTTCTAAGGTCATTACTCAGAGCAGAGGTGGAGGGAGCAGGAGGAGGAGGTGACAAGTAAAGGGGAGAGAGGGTGACTAGGGAGGGGATTTGGTAGGGGATGAAGAGGAAGCTCTGGGATCCCAGTTTCCAGGGAGGCAGTGAATAGCTCCTCCAAGTCCTTGGGGTCGGCTCAGTGCCTGTGGCTCAAGTGGCCAAGGCGCCAGCCACATACACCTAAGGTGGTGGGTTCGAATCCAGCCCGGGCCCGCCAAACAACAATAATGGCTGCAACCAAAAAATAGCTGGGCGTTGTGGCGGGCACCTGTGGTCCCAGCTACTTGGGAGGCTGAGGCAGGAGACTCACTTGAGCCCAGGAGTTGGAGATTGCTGCGAGCAGTGAAGCCATGGCACTCTACCCAGGGGGACAGCTTGAGGCTCTGTCTCAAAAAAATAATAAAAAAAAAGGCTCGGCGCCTGTGGCTCAAGTGGCTAAGGCGCCAGCCACATACACCTAAGGTGCTAAGGTGGGAGGTTTGAATCCCCAGCCCGGGCCCGCCAAACAACAATGATGGCTGCAACCAAAAAATGGCCGGGCGTTGTGGCGGGCGCCTGTGGTCCCCGCTACTTGGGAGGCGGAGGCAGGAGACTCACTTGAGCCCAGGAGTTGGAGGTTGCTGTGAGCTGTGATGCCATGGCCCTCTACCCAGGGGGATAGCTTGAGGCTCTGTCTCAAAAGAAAAAAAAAGTCCTTGGGGTCACCTGGCAGGAAGCCAGCCTGAGAGGTGGCCAAGCTCTTACTGAACCCAGACAGTGGCCATCAGACACTGGGCAGGAGCCTCCATGCAGGGCACCCATCTGCCTGTCAGACCCAATGTGATGCCTTGGACAAGGAAACAGGGAGGGGAAGGAAAGCTTGGGACCCAGAGAGGACTGTGGGGAACTGTGGTTTGGGGGCCTAAGGGACTAGGGTTACTCCTCCTTCCCCCTATGTGGCCGTGGCTCCCTGAACATCGGCTGCCTTATCTGTTGGAGGATGCCTTGTGATATCTGTGCCACAGGTCTGCCTGCATCTAAGATGCAGTGGGTACTCAGCAAAAGGCTCCTTCTTTCATCCTCCTTAAGTGAGACAGCGGAATATCCCAGATGCTGGGAGAGGACGGTGGCTGAGGGACCCATGGTGTATCAGAGCTTGAATGACATGATTGGGATAGACAGTAAAGGAGTGCTTGCTAAATGCTGGCTGTCTTAAGTACTAACACTCACATCCTCATTTCACCCTCACCAGTGCCAGTGAGCTGGATACTATTGTCCCCATTTTACAGATGAGCAAACTGAGGCTGAAGTTTTTAACTTGTCTAAGATCTCTCCCCTGGTGTGGCAGAACTGAGAATCAAACCTGAATCCTGTTATTAGGTGTAGCCCTGTTCTACATGTGCAAATGGAGAGACTGAGTCCCAGAGAAGGAGGCTCCAGACCCTGACCCCTCATATTCAAGCCTCCATGCCTTGGGAGGAGGGAGGAACTGAGCAGGAACTTTGGCGCTAGACATATCTGACTTTGGGTCATGACTTACTACCTATGTCATTGGGCAAGTTCTTAGGCCATGAGCCTCTGTTTCCTCACCTGTAAGATGGGGATAATATTCACCAACTGGCCGGGGCATGAGGGTTAAACCTGCCAGCTCTAGCTGAGTGCCCGCATGGCCCAGGTGCCCACCAGATGGACAGCCCTGCCAGACTCTGAAACAATTGTGCCTCCCACCATCCCCGGCCAGTCTGCCGTTGCCTGGGAAGGGAAGCATGTTCTCTTCCAAACTCAGAGAACCCTCCTGTGTTCTGGAAGGTATTTGTAGCCATGAAGAGTGCAGCCTCCAAGCTGCTGCTGGCACAAGCAGAGGGTACACATGAGGTGGGCACATCCCCCTCCCAGAGTGTGTGCAAAGGCACATCACAGCCCATATTTTGAGGGGGATCTCATGATATTCGTTTTTGCGTTGCCGCCAGAGAAAACTAAACTGCAGCTCCTGGCTGTCGGGGAAGGGCTGTGCTCCTGCCAGGGCAAGCGTGCCTGGCACTGGCTCCAGCCTGTACCGCAGCCGACTGCCGTTTGCAGGCAAATGTACACACAAAAACATTCCAGCACACGCATGCAGCCGCCAACACGGAGCTGCCACGGCGCACAACCCAGGGCAACGTGCACGCCCGCTGGCTGCCTCTCTCTTCCATTATCAAGAGATTCTCTCAGCCTCTGTCTGTCTCAGCGTCTGTCTGTCTCCCGGTCGGTGTGTGTTGAGTCTGTCTTCCTTGTTGGGTCTCATTTCTTCCTCTGACTGTCCGTTTCTACCCATCTCGTGTGTCCTCATCCTCATCTCTGACACTCTGGATTTTTCTGTCTCTCCCCTGCTTTGTCTGCACCCCTCCCTGTCTCTCTGACACGACCTTTTTCTCTGTTTCTCGTTCTCCCTGTTTTGATCTCTCCTCCTCTGAGTCTGTCTGTCCGTTTCTGTCACTATGTCTTTCCGACTTTGACTCTTTATCTCTCTCTCTGACTCTTTGTGTCTCTTAGCCCTTCTTTAACTCTTTCTGCCTCTGTCTTTCCCTACCCCTGTCTCCTTTTCCCTGTGATACTCTCCCGGAAACGCATCAAAACCCGAAATGGCCAGATTTCAAGTGACAAACAGCACTACATCCAGAACCCACCCCCTCCCCAACACGGCTGCCTTCTTCCTCCACTCCCTGCGTGGAGAGAAGCCTATTGTGTCGGCCTGGGGAGTTGAGTTGAAGGGCCTGGGGGTCTGAGCTCTGACTGCTCTGAGCTATTTCCCCATTGGCTCCGAGCAGCCTGTGCTCAGCAAGGGCTGAGCAACAGGGGAGGCTCTAGTCCATAAAAGGGGGGACGAGGCACCAGAACTGCTATTCTAAGGGGCTTGGTGGTGCTCACAGCTGCCTCTTTAGCACCTCCTTCTGAGCTAGAGTCAGAGAGGTCCCTGAGTCTAGGACCAGCCACCTGCTGCCTCCGACCTGCTTGGCCAGAAGCTGCCAGGGACAAAACCGAGCACAGGTAATATCGGAAGGGGCACTGGGATGCTTTCTCTGGATTTGATTTTGCTTATTCCTGGTCCTCTGGACCTGGAGCTGGTGGGATCTTGGGCTAGGGGGGTTTAGCTTGGAATCTGATTATCTGGCGATGGTAGTTACAGTTGAGAGGCTAGTTTACGAAAGCCAGACAGGGAAAGCCTGACTGTTCTTTGGAATCTTCCCCTCTGTACATTCCTGCTTAAACAGGTGGGTAACTCTTCCCCCAAGAGGACCCCTCTTTGGTTTTAGCCCCAGGGTCTCCTGCCTCTCACAACCTGCCATATAACACTTCCATGCCATTTCCGGTGTCTGAGGAGAATGGGAAGTCCTGGGTGGAGGAAGTAAGAGGTTAGCTAATCAGGATGATTTTAAAGGTCAGTGATTCTCACTGGCCTTAGAGAACAAGGGCTTGGGGACACTAATGAGGTTCGGGGCTCTGGCATTTACCGTGTAACATGTACATCAATGTACAACAAAGTTCAGCCTTCTCATTCTTTTGGAAGGTGTTTAATTGCTGACAGGGTGCTGATTTGAGTGCCTTCCTTTGTGGTAATTTTACACAGAATGAAGTTTAGGGGTATTTGGGGGGCAGGGAAAGGGAAAAGAGAGTGACAGGAAGCCAAGAGACCAGACTGGGCAGGTGTTTTCTTGCCAATTTTACTTTGAAAGGACTTGTTGCTCTCCTGTTAATTATAGCCAGTGGAGTCTAAGTTAGGCAGGGAGGAGGCTCAGACCGGAAAGCTATTTGCTCCCTGGTAAAGATGCCCGAATTCAAAGAAAGCATTATAGAATCCCAAAGTTTGACTCCAACAAAAAGCTGGTGAGCTCCAGGAAACAAACAAACAAAAAAAGCCTACTGACAACTTGAAGGTTGAATAGTAAATTCTGTGACCGCTTACTTTTTCCTGGGTATCTTTTATCTTGAATCTCTTCAGGCTTTACAAACATTCCTTAATTAAGCCTCCAAGCTTCCCAGGGGAAAGGAGCTCTTTCGGTTATTGGATCTGATTTCAATTCCCCTCCCACAGACTGAAAGTCTTCATTATCATCTTTCTTCCAAGGGTTGGTAAGATACACAAAGCTTGCCTTTCTAATTTGACAGGTGTTCTAGTTGAGATCCATGGCAAAGCATTTCAGAATGTCGATTCTCCCCCCCAGTCCCCATCCCTCCACTGAGCCTTCCTTCTCTTTTCCTCTCACCTTCTCCCCCCCAGCCCATCACACCTTGCCTTTGTTCTATTTTTGCAGGTCATTTATCTCCAGGCTTTGAGATCTGCGTGGGGGGAGCTGTTGCAGCAGCCCAAGCCGGTGAGTTATGCTACCCGGGGGTGGTTTGCATTCACTGACGGGATCTCAAGCCCACTGCTTTGCCCCAGCTGAGCTAGAGGTGTGATAGGTGGCAGGTGAATCCTGCATCTCCATTGGAAGCTGGGAGTGGGATGTCACAGTAGTTCCTGAGGGTATGTGGCAGAATCCAGCATGTTTTAAGGGAACAGTCAGAGGGACCAGATCTGGGGCTATTTGAGAAATTGTCAATCATCTTAAACCACATGGAAGGGGGTTAGGGTTTCTTGAAGTAACTTCTGGGAACTAGGAATTTTCCATATCCCATCTAAATGTGTGTCTCACAACACCTGCGATAGTGCTGGGTTCAAATCCCAGATCCTAAGACTCATTTGCTGTGTGATTTTGGGACAGTATCTGCCCCTCTTTGAGCCTTAATTTCCTTACCTGTATAATGAAGATAATAACAGTATTCACCTTCCAAGATTATTCTGAGATCCCAATGGGATACTGTAATGCTCCTGGCGCTTGGTAGGTATTTAATAAATACTGGCATGATGGCTCAAATTTTCACTATTCGAGAGTGGCAGGGTTGGACCTCCCCCTCCATCGATTATAATATCCTTAATCATCCCACTCCATCATGCTGTGGAGGAAATATGATCTAACATCTAATATTTTCATTTGTGGGGCTGTCACTGCTCTCCCCTCCCCACTCCAACAGAAGGCTTTATTTCTGTATCTGCTTCATCGGGATCACGACTTCTCTTTTTGATCGATCCCACTCCCCCAACTCTCCCTCCCACTGCCTCCTCCTTGGGTCATTCTTGCACCGTTGCCGTATTTATTAGATCTCTTCCATCATTGTAAGAGGGATCAATAGTTGCCGGTTCGATTTCAGTGCATGTCTGAGAAGTGTGGTCAGCCAGCTGATTTCTCTCGCCATTTTCGCTCATCTCATCCCATAAATGTTGGCTAATCTCATTGGGTCTGACAAAGTGATAAACTGATTTCACTGAAACAGAGCTGGGCACTGTGGCGGGCAGTAAACATCGGCTGCAGACACCCAAGTAAGCCTAGGATCAGACTCTCAAGATGAAGTGATGTCCCTTAGCGCTTTGGGGCTCAACCTCATCAATCTCTCCCCATCTGGATCCAGCCTGATGCCCTCGGCAGGAAGGTAACAGCCCCAACCCATGAGACACATCGCTTGGCTCAGGATGTTCTTCCCTGAGTCCATCCAGTTTGTCCCACCAGCCAGAGTGGCTGGCCACGAGCTGCAGATGTATGCCCCAGGGGCAATTTGTCAATATATTGGCTTGAATTGACATTTGGTCCCTGTCCTCGTCCTGGACAATTCAATTGAACTTGACAGGGTTTACCAAGCAGTTATTGTGAGGCCAGGGCTCTTGCCCACTGGTCATAGGAACAAAGGGCAGATTCAGAGAGGAGGGGAGAATTGGTGTCAGTGATTCACACGGTAGGTCAAACTCCCAAGTCAAAATCTTCTTCCCTCGCCTTCTCTCTCTCCCTAGCTTTGTCACTTCCCTCCACCTCCTCTCTCCCTCTGTTCTCCTTTGTCCTTTCACCATCTCTAAGTCTCGTCTCTATTTTCCTGTCCCGGGTGATCCTCCATCTCTCTGCTTTCCTAGGCGCCTTGGTCTCTTGCTCTGCCATGCAGGTTCCACCTCTGATGCTCTTTGGGGCTTGTCTCTTTCTCTTCTCTCTGCGTCTCTTCATGTCTGTATCTCTCCAGTTCATCCTCCTTCTGCCTTCCTCCCCACCCTCTAATTGCACCAAGTAACAAAAAGGGAGGGGATTCCATCCAGATCCTGCTCTTGAAAAATATTCTCTTAAAAACGCAGTGGACGATCCCACCATGCCCGGCCTGGGGGGCTGCCTCTCTCTCTCTGGTCTCTGCACAGCAGATGTGCCAACCCCGAGTGTGGGACCCTCATCCGGGACTCTACTTTGATCTTGGCTGTACTACCGGGTGGGTTTTCTTCCTGCTCAGAACCTAACAATGGCAGGGTCTCCCTTTGGAGACCCACGAAGATACATCTTATGTTTCTGAGTGAGATAAAAGCTCCTGAAAGAGTTTTATTTTCAGGAATCTGAGAGTTTAGGGAGTCATTTGAGAAACATTTAGAAACGACCTGCATTTCAGGACTATTTGTGGTGTGGCGTTAGCAGCTTGGCTTTTAAGCCTGGCTATTTCTTTGTTTCTCGGCCTTGGCCTCACCTTTCTGCCTCCCTGAGCCTCTGTTTTTCCCATCCGGAAAAGGTGACTCATCCAACCCACTGGATTCTCTTGAGGACAAAACTGAAATAATTGAGGTAAAAAGTGTGGCAAAGAGCTTGTCTTCCTGTAGCTGTGCCCTAAGTGGGGGCTGCCATGGACTCAGAGAATTCCACCTGAGTCACGTGTGCTCTGGCCCCATGGGGGCCACTTGGTCCTCGCCTTCCCCATTGGAACCTGATCCCGTAATAATAGTCTCGCTCCATAGGGCACGGGGGAGGCATCTGGAGAGCATGGGGCCTGGCACAGAGCAGTGCCACAGTTCTTGCTGGCTGTTAGGAGGGTCACTGAAATAATAGCATCTCCTCAATGGCAATTGTGGTTCAGGGGTGGGAGGCCTGAGTTCTGTCTCTGTTTCTCTCCTGACTCATGATGTGACCTTAACCAAGTGACTTCATTTCTCCCTCTTCCCATTTCCTCGTCTATCAAATAGAGATAATCATATGCAATAAAGTGCTCGGAAAGATAATTGAGATATTAAATCAAGCCATTATTATTCCACGCTGGCTTTTTTAGTAAAAATGCTTGTGGCTCCTCTGAGCCCTCAGCTGACTACAATACAGAAATATCATTGAGAAGCTGAGAGGGCAAGAAGCCCCTTTCCTTTCATGGAACTCTGGTCTCTGGGTGAAAACAGGGCTTACTTTTTGCTGTCCCTTTAAACCAGAAGTGGGGAACCTGCTGCCTTCAGGACACATGTGGTCTCCTAGGTCATATTGACTGAAGCCAATTTTTACAGAACAAATCCTTTTATTAAAAGGGGTGCAGCAGAGAAAGACAAAGATTTCTTGCCTCCTTTGGTGCTTAAAAAATAACAATGTTGAAATCAGAAGGCTGCAGGTTCATGATACTGTCCCAGCTCATCCTGATGGGACACAGCAGGGAGGTGGTACATCCAAGAGGTGGCCCTGAATTCAGTCTGACTCCTAGAGCCCATGTCTTTCCCGTCCAAGGAAAAGGAAAATCCCAAGGAGAGGTTTCCCAGGCCCTCTCAGTACTCGCCTGGAGGGCAGCAGAAGCGGCTAGAAGGAACTCCAGACCCCAAGGTCAAGGTGCCTCTCTCCCAGTCCAGCCACTTGACCTCCTGGGGAGAGATACACATGCTAGCAAGTTTAGGGGATGTTTTATTATTTGATAACATGTTCAAGGGCTTGTGGTTTCAAAAAAATCAGCTTAAAAACTATTTTGAAGGCTGGAGTCAAAAAACTTTGTCTGGTAAGGACCAGGTGGTAAATAGTTTTGGTCTTCTGGACCATTCAACAATTAACTATGCTTCTGTGGCATGAAAACAACCATGGACGTGGATGTGAACAAACGGGTAGAGTATTGTGTTAGTCAGGATTTCCCAGAGAAATGGAACCAACACTTGGAAAGAGAGTTACTGTAAGGAAGCGGCTGTGTGGTCACGGGGGCTGGTGAGTTGAGAGCACCCTTCCCTCTGAGGGAAGAGCCACCCCTGCTCCCCATCAGCCCCCCTTTCCCTGGCTGGGCTGTAAAAAGCACCCCCAGCTAGTGGCTGAGAAATCCTCATACACTGCTGCCAAGTGTGGAGGATTTTTCCTTGTAAGGTCCCCTGGTCTGTCAAGGCTTTTAACCCAGAGGGATCTGGTCAGAAGCCTGACACTCCCATTTATAAGCCGCATGAACTTGGACAAGCAACTTCCCCTCGCCTAGTCACAGTCTCACCCTCTGTGTGAAGGGTGTAAAAACACCCACATGTGGGGTTGCCGTGAGGATTAGAACTGATATGTACAAAGTGGTCTTGTGCATGTGCCAGGCGTGTGCCAGGTGCGCCAGGCGTGTGCCAGGTACTCCACGCATGGTCTCTAATTCCTACGCTAACCCGCTGAAGCATCTTTTTATTAACCCCATCTTACAGCTAAGAAAACTGAAGCCCAGCAAAGTGAACTTGTTTTCCCAGAGTGGTGGCAATTGGTGGGCTGGTGACACTGCTTCTGGGCCAGGGAGGACCCGGAAGCCGCTCTTTCTCCAGGTGGTCAGAGTGGGCAGTTCAGAGGGTGCAGACTCACATGTCTGTCGCTGCTCAGCAGGGAAAGGCATGAGGGGACAGTAGGCCACGGGGTAGCCCTTGTTCCCCTCCATGATGGTTGCCAGAGAGGAATCCAAGCCCATTATCTTCAGGGTTTTAGATTCTTTGAGACAAGTTAGAAATTGAGAATTTTTTTTAAGATAAAAATCTCCCAATTTGGAAGTGTTCCTTGCATTCACTCAGCAGACTTCTGTGGAGCTCTGCTCTCATCCTAGCCCTGTATGAGGCACTGGGGCACCATTTATCCATTCATACATTCATTCATTCATTCCTCAATCTCTCACACTTCCTTAGTCTTGGCGTCACCTTTAGAACAAATGCAAACTCTTCTTGGCTTTCGAGGGCCCCCAGAGTGATCTAGCCTCCACCCACCTCTCTGCTTTTCCTGCTCCTTCATCCACCACAGCCTCGTTGTCACCTTCAGACACAACGCACACACTTATGCTCAGACCTGAGGGACTTTGCGCTTACAAAGCACCGCCTCCCAAGGGGGGACTCAGAAAAGCCAGAGGCAAATATGTGACGGAGCTAGAACAGCTGACTGTGAGAGCCCAAAGGAGGGAGCTAATCCAGACAGGCTTCTTGGAGTAGGCAAAGGAGGCTGAGCCTTGAAACAGAGTAAGAGGTAGCCGGGTCAAGGGCGATGGACGTGGACGGGTGGGGTGAGAAAGAGTTCCAGGCTTGGGGAGTGGGAACATAGGGCATTTGCTTTGGAATTGCTGGCGGGTTGGTCAAGCCCAGGTCAGGCAGAAGCCGCACTCAGTCTGCTGGGTGCTGTGTGCTTGCCGGGATCCCTTGCACACATTGTGTCACCTTGCTGTGCTCCTTTCCTCAGCCATAGATGGTGAGACTATTATTCCCAGCCTCGTGGGGTTGTCATGAGAGCCCCTGCATTAAGATATGTGCTGGACTAAGTGCAGGGCCTGGCACACAGTGAACACCTGGCAAATGTCAGCTGTCCGAATCAGGAAAGCCCTCGGGTGCCAGGTGAAGGGGACAGGTTTCCTCTGCAAGACAGTGGAGAGCCCTGCAGGCTGGACCCAGGGCAGAGATGCAGTCGGTTTTGCATTTTAGATGAGTCCTCCAGCTGCCATGTGGCAAGATTGGAGGCCACTGCTGAAACAGGTGAAGGTTGACCTCCGGAGGGAGAAGCTGGAGGCTGGGGGTGGCGGAACTGCAGGGCAGGTAGTGCACAGTCGTACCAGACTGCCTGGTACAAACCCCAGCTCTGTCACTTACTGGTGCCAGAATCTTGGCAGATGTCTTGACTAGATTTCCTCATCCATAAGGCAGGTACTATGTCTGATAACAGCACTTTCCCCATGGAGTTGCTGTGAGTGTGAATGAGTTCATCCCTAAGGATTGCTCAGAACATCACGGGTTCTTCATAACCATCAAAGCAACTAGCGTTATTTTTAAATATATAGTTAATGGATGGAAGGAAAGGTTATCAGCGCTATTTTTGCCCAGGACAAAGAGAATGCAAATTGGTCTCCCTACCTTAGCAGCCAAGCTGTGTGGGAAGCCTTCAGCCAAGAGTTGGAGGGTGGGATAGGCTCCCCCTCTCCGGTGGGTTAATTCACTGCTAATCTTGTAACAGGCCAGCTGAACCACTGCTGCTATCAGAGGAAGCATGAGCTGTGTGCTTTGTGCTGCTCACTGGTCAGGAACCTTAATCCGCTCAGCAGCTGATAAAGCGTGAGAGAAACCTGACAGCAGGAGAGAGACAGGGTGGACACAAGGCCACGTCTCAGAGTTTTCCACTCGAGCCTCTCCTTTCAAGGGAACAGACCTTGTCCAGCCTCAACAGAGACTCGTGGGCCTGAGCTCTCACCTTTAATGGCTGTGTGACCTCAGGAAATGTACCAAGCCTCTCTGAGCACTGGTCTTCCCTTGCATAAAGTGAACTAATGATGCCTACCTCTTATGGTGTCAGGTGGACTGAGTCCAACATCCAAGCAAGAGCTCTGTGCATAAAGCCCCTTGGTTCTCACCACGGGTTCAGCTATTAATGAATCAAAGTTGCTCTGGAAATTGTAGTCATTAAGTGTAGGGGGTCAGACAGAATGGGCCTTTCACCCCAGCTTCACTGCCGGATGCGGGACACGATACTTCATTAAGTCAGAAGTGCTCAGCTCACTAATATAGAATAAATGAGGTGATAAATTTAGGGACTTGGGGCACGAGGGGCTCAATAAATAATGACTGGGATCATCATCAAGCTTGCTCGGGATGGGGGGAGACAACTATGTGCTTTGACGGGGGAGACCCTGCTCCGGGGTACAGCATGGGGGCTCTGGGGCCTGTGAGGTGGAATCCTTTAACTCCCCTCAATCCTGGAGCAGATAGGGCAGCGTGCAGGAAGGAGGAATGTGGAGGGAAGGAGAGCCCCCACTTCTGAGAGTAGATTGGTGGCATCCAGTTATAAAGACCAGACTGGTCTGAGCATGGAGCCCCCAGAGCAGCCAGGGTCTCTGCATACACTGTGCCCTCATTTGAATCACTTTGAGTAATAACATCTGATTTACGGAGAGTTGACTATGAAAGGGATAACTTTTAACAGACTATTTTTGAACCATTAATTCATCTGCCAAGGATTTATTGAGGACCTACCAAGGGCTAGTCAAAGTATTAGGTGTTAGGATCCAGCAGGAAAAAAGACAGGGGCTGTGTCCTTAAGGACCCAACAGTTTAGTGGGGAGATGATGACCGACAATGCCAAATATCAAATACACAGGAAAGTGTGAGCTAGTGACTGTTGTGATGAAAACAAGGTGATGTGAGAGAGAAGCCAGGGAACTCATGGGAGCTACAGAGGCCCGCAACTGCCTCTCTGCCAAGGTGACATTTAATATATTTATTTAAGGAGGGAGTAATGTGAACGTCTGCAGGCAAAGTACAACAGACAGGAGAACAGACAATGCAAAGGCCCTGAGGTAGGAGCGAGTGTGGCATGTTTCAGGAACAGAGAAAATACTAATACTACATGCAAAAAGACAAGACCCAGCTCTTGCCTTCATGGAACTAAACTCTGAGGACTCAGCTAACTTGAAGTAGTGGACTGGGAGAAGAGAAAGGAGGAGCATCTCGTCCAGCCCAGGAGATCAGGGAAAGCTGCCTGGAGGAGACTATATCTAATGTAGGACTCCAGCAATAGGTAATAGAAGAGGACAGGAAGGGTTCTCCAGGCAGCAGGAACAGCATGTGCAAAGGCCCAGAGGTAGAGCAGGGCCTGAGACATTCATTAAGGGAATTGCAAGTAGCTAGATGTGGCTGGAACCCAGAGCTGAAGTGCTAGAGTATAGATATGGGCCTGAGGGTGTCCTGACATTTAGGCAGAAGGGCCAGACTTTACCCCACCCAATGGGTCTAATGACAGAACTGATATCACCAAGAAGGGCATTTCAGGCTAGGCAAGAGGGATTAGCGAAGGAACTGGAGGCAAGGAAGCTAGCATGGAGAGGGGGTAGAGGTGGAGCTGTGGCCAAGGTCAGTGGCAGTGTTGGGGTTGGGAAGGCAAATTCCAGATACCTTTGAAGGACTGGCCTGGGGACAACCTGTATAGCAAGGACACAGGCTGGAGAGAATCCAGAAAAGCACAGCCAAGTATCTTCTGGCTTGGTGGATGGTCAGAGTGGGTGTTGATGTCTTACAGATGCCGATGGAGTCCTGGCTTGTCCGCTTTTGAGCTGTGTGCAATCTCTTCCCCTCTCTGAGTCTTAGCTTCCCCATTCATCACACAAAACAGCATGGCCCACCTGGCAGAGCCATTGTGTAGACTGAGTGTGAATGTGCAGGAAAGTTCCTCCCGCAGTGTTTGTTAATCACGTCTTTGACTTTTGGCCTTGGGCACCCACTTCACCTCTCTAAGCCTGTTTTCTCCACTGTTCACGGGGAATGAGAATGCCCATTTTGTGATGGTACTGGTGGAGCTAACAAGATGTCTTTGCAGGCTCAGGACACAGCTCACAGAGTGGTGATCACAGATTTCATTACTGTCTCTTTCTCTTTCCTCAGCAGGAGAAGCTGAGACAGAATGGCCTGGCTGGGGCTGGTACTGGCTGCTTGCCTCCTCGTGCTGCCCTCCACCTCAGCAGACTGCCTGGCCCAGTGCTCCCTGTGTGCTGTGAAGACCCAGGATGGACCCAAACCCATCAACCCCCTGGTGGGTTTTGAGCAAAGTTCCTTAATGCCCAAGTCCTGGGGCCTGAGCAAGGAAGGGACCCTCTGTGTGTGGAGCCCAGAGATGGGAGGTCGCAGGCCTGGGCAACTGTGCCCCTATCCTGGAGACTCACCCCTCCTGTACAGGGATTGTCCTGCCCTATGGATGGCCTGGGCCCCAGGGTCTACTGTTTCCCAGCTCCCATTCCTACCCTAGACTTCACTATCAAGGGCTTACTCAGGCCAAGCCAGAGACTCAGGATTCCTCGGAGTGTGATGCTGGTGACAGGGAGTGTCATTCATGAGATGGTGCTGGCCTCACAGTCTGCGGCTCTAGATGAGCTTTTCAGGGCCTCCCAGCAACAAACAGATGGGCACCTCCAAATCCAGTTACTCCATGAGAGGAGCTGTCACCCTACACCAAAAGCATAGGATATGGTGACAGGATCAAAGCCTGACCCCCTTCCTGGGTTTTAGCTTCTCTTGGCCCCACCCTGTGGGCTTTGCTTTGAGTCAAGTTCCTATGCATGCCTCTCCGTGACATAGAAAAGCTGGTGTACAGGTACCAAGGGTGTGGTGGACAGAACATAGGCCTTGATTCTGCCCCTATCTAGCTCCTTGCCTCTGGAATCTCCTTTCTAAGCTTCAGTTTCATCATCTGAAAGGTATGGCTGACTCCATGAGGTAATGACAAAGGTACCGAATATATGATTCTAGACACGGTTCCTTGAGAAGCGTGCAGTGTGCCAAGTGCAGCCCGTGCACGGTCTCATTAGAGCACTGTGGTTGAGCATGGGGACTCATGGCATTAGACTTCTGATTAAAGCTCCAGTATTGCCTACTACTGTCATCATCATCATGATTGAATGCTCCCAACAGTCCTATGAAGTAGGTACAATTGTCCTCCCATCCCAAGCTTGAGGAACCCCATATGTCCCCTTGCCCATGTTCTTTCTGCCGTTCTGCATTGCTCTGTACAAAGTACTAGCAGCATCCCTCCCACCTGAGCAATACTGGGAGCACTGACAACTCCCTCTGGGAGTCGGAAGTGAAAGGGAAAGGTAAGAGCAAGGAGAATTATGGGAAAATCTCACATCCAGTCTTGGCACCTGTAGCTGTGTGTCCTCAGGACAACTGTGTCACCTCTCCAAGTCTAATTTCTTGCCTTTCACACAAGCAGAGTCCCCTCCCTTTATGTACCCCTGGGAGCATGAAAATGGGTAGCCCGGTGCTAAGCAGTAGCAGCTCAGTTTGATTTTCTCAGTTACTGGACAGAGAGCCTGGGGCAGGGCTAGGTATGTGTTTTGGTAATTTGGTGGGGGTGACATTGTCATGTGCTCTTTTTGGGTCTTTTGCAGATTTGCTCCTTGGAATGCCAGACCACCCTGCTGCCCTCTAAGGAATGGGAGAGATGCCAGGGATTTCTGTCTTTTTTCACTCCCCCCAACATTGGGCTCAATGGCAAGGAAGACGTGGGGAGCAAGCTGGCTCTGGAAGGGCCCTACAGTGAGCTGGAAAAGCTGTCTGGGTCCTTCCTGAAGGAGCTGGAGAGAAGCAAATTCCTCCCCAGTAACCCAATAAAGGAGAATCCTCTGAGCAAGAGTCTGGAGGAGACTCTCAGGGTCTTCTCTAGCAGGTTTGGGGCAGGACCTGAACCTGAGCTGGTGGGTGATGCCCAGTTGAATGATGGAGCCATGGAAGCTGGCACACTCAATTTTGATGAGGAGGACCCCAAGGAGCAGGTCAAACGCTATGGGGGCTTTTTGCGCAAATACCCCAAGAGGAGCTCAGAGGTGGCTGGGGAGGAGGAGGGGGATGGGGAGAGGGCAGGCCACGAGGATCTGTACAAGCGCTATGGGGGCTTCCTGCGGCGCATCCGTCCCAAGCTCAAGTGGGACAACCAGAAGCGCTATGGTGGTTTCCTCCGGCGCCAGTTCAAGGTGGTGACTCGGTCTCAGGAAGCCCCCAGTGCTTACTCTGGAGAGCTTTTTGATGCATAAATACCTCCCCATTGTGGATTAAGTCAGGAGCTTCTCCTGACCCCCTTCCACATTGGAGTGCACTCATCCATCCCCTGTGTGGTGCCCATTCCCATGCTCAGTTCAGCATCACCTACAAAGTATCCAAGCCCAGCCTACCTCTCTTGTGCCTGGGAGTACAATAATGGGGAAGGGTGGAGGTCCTTTCCCAATAGGTAAAGTCCTTGGCCGAGACCCATAGACTCCAAAACTACCACTAGCAGTTCCTTCTACTCTGACCATGTGCCTCCCCAATCCTATGAATTTAGAGTAACTTGGGTTTTTTGCCTGTAGACTTATGATCTCCAAATTCAACTTATCATAAGCCCTTATCAGAGGAAAAATTAGCATTCACCATAAAAATAATATATATATGTGTATATATACATATCTATGTGTCATAAAACATACAAAGAGTCAAAACTTAAAACAAATTAGATAAACATAAATAGAAATTCTGACATTTATTCCCAAACCTCAAGGGTCTCTTGTGCACTCCACTTTGGAGACCTCACTATAGGTAAAAAGTTTAAGCACTGTTTTTTACTGGAGCAAGAATTCTGACACTAGAGAGTTCAGCCTTCAGGAGGTTGGATGTTTAACTGGTGTGCTCTGAGTTCTCATTGTTTAGAAAGGCACTTCTTGAAGAACCGAGTTTTCGAACTCCTGGCCATGTTGGTACCATGGACAGCGCCCAACGCTTCATAGAGGAAAAAGTGAAATCTCTTCCGGGAATGGTTGAGAGCTGTTCTCTTTCTGAATGCTTAAATGATCAAGGAGGGAGTGAGGCAAAACCAATTTGTTCTGTGCAACAAACTCAGAATGTGGACCAGTTCCCTCAGTCCTCATTAAGCTAATTAAATGAATTGGTATTACACTTCTACCCCACGGTGAACTGAAGCAGAGTCAAGTGGATGAAGTTAAGCACGACCGTGTTCTTGAGCATCTGAATTGGCTGCCGAGTGTCCAAGCCATCTGGCCTGACATATGCATTGGGCATTGGATAAGGGAATCCAGAAGCAACAGCTAGAAAGAGAAAAAGGCCTTCTGCAACCCCATGGTGATTCTTTCCTCTTAATGTCTCAAAACAAAACCAGAAAGAGGAATGAAATGATTAAGTGTTAAGAGTCCAAATGAGTTCCCTTGATTCAAATAACCTAAAATCTGAGGCAGAGACCTCCTGATGCCTTGGTTTCAGTCAAAGTACTCTCTCTCTCTCTCTCTTATTCATCCCCAGGCACTATGTTTTGGTTTATGGGTCCAGGAGATGAGGCTGGATAGGAGAGAAAACAGACTTGAGTTTGGATAATTTGTGTAAGATGCCGCTAAACATACCCCTTCATGAGCAGGCCCTGGATCTCTCATGCTGTTCTGAAATGTATAGATTGTTTTAGAGTTATTTCGTGTGCTTCCCAAATATTCCATTTATGCAATTCACTTGGAATTTGCTTAGTCCTCAAAAGGCCTGTGTAATTTCCTGCTCCTCTGGTATAATAAATAAAAGAAAGATGCTGATGACTTGGGATTTGTATGTGTGTATGTGCGTGCACATGTCTCCATGTCCAGAGAGCAAAAGACCATTTGCAGAAAAGAGTGCTGGGGAATGAACAGGAACACACACACATATACATCACATGCACACATACATACAAATATTCAGGTTAGAAAACTAAGTGTGGGATAACAGAAAGAGTAAGAATTTTAGAGTGCCACAACCTTAAATTTGAAAACTGGCTCTGTGTGACCTTCGGTAAGCCATTTGAGCTCTCTGAGCCTTAGTTCTTTCCTCAGTAAAACAAAGACTGATAATATCAACTCTGTTGGGTTGCTGTGAGGATTAGAGGAGTCCGTGTGGATGAAGATCCCGGTACATGGTAGATGCTCAGTAGAGGAGGGTTTTCTTTCCTACATTGTCTTAAGGGACAGAACCAAAACTCAAGCATCCAGCAACACTATGGGGAGGGTGAGAAGAGGCGCTGCAGAGAGATTCTGCACCCCACCTCACTCCCAGGGGCTTGTTCCCGTGCTGGATGACCAGGAAAGGAGGGACAGACATCCTCCTAGATGAGGGGGAGTGTGCTAGGGAGGAGGAACACCTTAGCCATGAGGCAGCATAACATTCATTACTAAGATGACATCCTCCACTAAAGGGTAGAAATGAGATGTCTTTAAATACAATGGATATGAGAAAGCCTTGTTCCTCCAGGCCTCATGAACACTGTCTTCCCAAGCGACTTCACAGAAAACACGGGGTCAGGGAGGTCTTGTTCATTCTCTCATTCATTCAACAAACCATTAATTGAAGCCCTGCTGTGTGTGCAAGCCTTTCAGTAGGTGCTAGAAGGACAGAAATGTGAAACGGACTGAATTTCTGCTCTTTTGGAACGTACCGTCCAGTGGGGGAGAGATAAATAAAAAGTAAGCAAAGGATAAAATTAAAAATAGTAGTGTTAATAAAAGTCATGAAGGAAAGAGTTGGGGTTTAGAGACAAAGGACAGCAGCAGTAGGGAGAAATCTCCCTGGGGTACTTAGGAAGTCCCACTCTAAGAAATATTTCATTCTTGACATCCATAGAACCACCAAGTTGGAAGGAACCTAAAGTTTGTGCTCATCTTGTCCAATCACCTACCCTGTGCCCAAACTGACACATTGATAATAAAGTTGAATACTTTTGCTGATAAAATATCCTTACTCTTTAAGAATTCAGTGTTGAAAAGTTCCGTCTATATGTTAGGTTCTGTTATTTTATTTATTTCTTTATTTATACAGAGTCTCACTCTGTCACCCCGGGTAGAGTGCCATGGCATCATAGCTCACAGCAACTTCAAATTCTTGGGCTTGAGCAATCCTCTTGTCTCAGCCTCCCAGGTTTCTAGGATTATAGGCATACACCACTACACCTGGGTAGTTTTTCTTTTCTTTTTGGTTTTGTAGAGACAGGGCCTCACAAAAGGCTGGTCTTGAATTCCTGAGCTCAAGCAATCCACCTGCCTCAGCCTCCCAGAGTGAGGTTCTAGTATTTTTACTCACTGTGTCCTGACCCTTTTGTTGCTAGCCTGGAACTTCTCTAGGAAATAATTTTCTGTTGCTTGAAAACAAATGGCCCATAATTATCTCAAATGAATTAAACAATCAAAATCCCAGGTAATTTGTTGGCTCATGTACATGAAAAGTCTAGAGATATTCAGCTTCAGGTGAAGCTGGATCAGGGGCTTGATAGAGATATCAGGACCTCTTCATCACTGGGCTCTTTTCTCCTCTGTGTTGGGTTCATTCTAAGCTCCTTGTATTTTCAAAATGGCCGACAGATGCTCCTGTGTATACCATGTGGGTTCAAATCCTGAATGCTATTTTCACTGTAATCCCAATCAAAGTGCATCTCATAGGCCCTGGGTCATATGTTCCATCCTGAGCGCATGCTAATTACTGAGGATTGATGTGGTGCTCTGATTAGCCAGGACTGTACCGCACAGACTCCATGGAGTCACATGTGGATTCAACTTCTCTCAGAGTAGTGGGGAAGGAAAGGGATGGTTCTTGAGAGGAACACTGGAGCATCGGTCCCAGTAGGAGGGTGAAAGAATGCCAGACCACCAAACAGAAGCCACCTCCATAGAGATTGAAGGGAGCTGGAGGGGCCTGGGGCAAATGGAGAGTACACACTATGGTGCATGTGGCCCTGGAGTAGCAAGAACTGATTTTCAAGAGACTGTGGAAATTTGAGTTTGCATGTGACACCTTGCAGTTTTTAAACTAAGCAAGTAATTTTTTTAAAGTACTGCATATGATAAACAATAGCACAAATTGTGGTATATACACCATGGAATATTATGCAGCCTTCAAAAATGGAGACTTTACCTCTTTCATGTTTACATGAATGGAGCTGGAACATATTCTTCTTAGCAAAGTATCTCAAGAGTGGAGGAAAAAGTATCCAATGTACTCAGCCCTACTATGAAACCAATTTATAAATACCCACACTTCCATATGAAAGTTATAACCCAACCACAGCTGAAGATGAAGGGGAAAGAGAAGGGAGAAGGGAGAGTAGGGGGGAGAATGGGTGGAGAGAGGGTAATTGGTGGGACCACACCTGTGGTACGTTTTACAAGGGTACATGTTAAATCCACTAAGTGTAGAATATAAATGTCTTAACATAGTAACCAAGAAAATGCGGTGAAGGCTATGTTAACCAGTTTGATGAAAATATTTCAAATTGTATATAAAACCAGCACATTGTCCCCCATGATTGCATTAATATACACAGCTATGATTTAATAAAAAACATAAACATAGGGATATGTATTTTTAAAAAGACAAACAATAACGTGTTGGGATGAGACATCTCACTCTCTCACCGCTATTTCATAAGTTCTTTCCCAATCTTTTCTTCTTTTACTTTTTAAATGAGAAACACTCCTTTTGGGAAAAAAAAAAAAAGAGTTCTCCCCATATGTTATGGATTATAGAATTCTGTGTCCTGGACTCTCCTTTCTGGACCTTTTTCACATGTCAAGGAAGCCAAGCCTGTCCACACAGGGAGAGAAGAGCACGGGGTGGGGGGGTCACAGAGAACTGGGCTTAGATGCTGTTTCTCTGGATGAGCCACCGTGCTCCACTGAGCCTCTGTTTCCAGTCTGACAGGTGGGGAGAAAAATACTGACTTCACTGGATTGAGCAGAACATTCTATAATATAAAGTATTCTTGATACATGAGAGGTATATGATACACCTTGTTGCTCCCTTAAAAGATGGTACCTCTGATGATGGTATTCTTTTTTTTTTTTTTTTTTTTTGAGGCAGAGTCTCACTCTGTTACCCTGGGTAGAGTGCCATGGCATCATCATAGCTCACAGTAACCTCAAACTCTTGAGCTCAAGAGCTCCTTTTGCCTCAGCCTCCCAAGTAGCTGGGACTATAGGTACCTGCCACGGTGCCTAGCTAGTTTTTCTGTTTTTAGTAGAGACTGGGTCTTGCTCTTGCTCAGGCTGGTCTCAGACTCCAA